TTCTTCTCATGACGCAACTGGAAGATCTCTTTCTCTAACTCGTCATTGGCTTTCTTCAATTCTTCGTTTTCAGCCAACAATTTGTTATACTTCTCAATATCTACCGAAGTAGGTACCTCAATCACTGGAAGATACAAAGGTTCCACAGCAGGATATGGCATCAAGGAAATACTAGCTCTCTCGTGGATCCAAGCCAAATAAGGATCATAAGCTTTGCTATTGCTCTTACCTAGCAAAGCATTCCCTCTCCTATGGATGTTAGCCCATGCATGTCTCAACCTGATCAAAACAGCCTCGTCTAATAAGCCCGTGAGATACAAAGATTCCTGTATCTCAAACTCAATAGGAGCATCTCTCAAGGCATAACCAAACTGTCTCACCAGCAGAGAAGGGTTATAGTTAATACAGCCTTTCCGTCCAATCAAAGGGACATTCAGAAAGTCACTGCAACTATATATAATATCAGTGCCAAGCATACTCCGATCAAACCAAATGATGTTCTCAGCAGACAGCCCCATCAATCAGGAAGACCAATCCAAAGTATCAACAGCATCAACAAAAGGCCATGTCTTCGAAAGATGTCCCTGGAACCACCTGTACAAAAGAGGAAGACAGCAGGAAACATTCTTGCCACGACGTTTCTCATTCTTATAGTGAATAGAATGATAAACGTCGCCCAAGAGAGCAGGAACTGGATTCTTCGAGGTAAGAATCAAGAAGGCATCTGAGTCAACAAAATCTGGCACATTGGGAAACAAGACAATCCCATAGACACAGACAACCAGAATGGCACTGAAGGCAACCCAACATCCACTTCGCGCACTGTGTAGCCTTCTCAACCAGGACAGACAGGTGAAAACCATAAGCTCCGTTCAGCTTGACCAAACCTCCAGGGAACTCAGAAGCGTCTAAACTGACAATCTCAGCAAGTGTAGCTAACTCAGGCTCAACATCAACATGTATAAAGGGCATCTGGTCTAACACAGGAACTCCCAACATAGCAGAATACTCCTCCAAAGTGGGTGCCAGAATATAGTCGGGGAACAGGAAGCATCTTAGCTGAGGCTCATAAAACTGCATCAAAGTATACACCCCAATCGTCTCAAATGCTGAAGGTCTATACAACAAACTAAGCAATCCATAAGATACTCTGAACTCAGCCCCCACTCTCTCATCTGCTAGAGCAACTAATCCCAGCAAGGAACTGATATTTGGCGAATGCAACCGGTAGGCAACTGTCCTCTTCATGGACTCCATGTCTGGCCAGAAGATACACTAGAATCAGAGGGGAATGATCACACCTGCAACATAAATACATGTTAATGAAATGCAAACATGAAAATGCACATGCATATGCAAACAGGAGATCAAGCGCAATGCTGATGAACTGTGCTGCTCTGTATTGAAGCCTGAGAACCATCAAATCTTTGCCTCAAACCAAACCAACCACTCAAAAGAACCCTGTAACCACATCTCACTGACAGAGATAAACCAGGTACTCTGAGGTCAAAGGTTTCCTGCAAACAGACCTACCTACCCCTCACAGGTATGTACTTAACTCGCAGACGAGGTACAACATCCTATGCGGGTTCAACGTCACAGGCTTTCAAGAGCGATGATACGATACCCAGAAGGTGTGGCATCATCATCCCTTGAAGCGGCCTCACTTAGCTGAATCACAATTGATAGGTCCCTAGAGTCGATAATCCTCGGGTCAGACAACTTGTCGAGCCCTAAGGGCCAGGCAAGAAGCATCAAAGAGAATCTCGTCCGAGCGCAGATTTCGCGGCCAGCTGGTGCGAGCTAAGCAAGCAAGCTAACCACTACTCTCTACTTCTAAGTCTATGTGCAAACTCAAGCCCAGGTCCGGCTTATCTCTCAATCTAACCCTCTACCCAACACAACAACAATAATAGAGGAATGAAAGTAAAGGCAGAAAGGTAAATACATACAAAACCCCAGACGGGAAAACAAGCGCTAGGATTGACTCGCATAGGGAACCGTTGGAGTCCCCAGCAGAGTCGCCAACTGTCGCTACTGCGAAAATCGGCGCCGGCTATGACAGAAGAGTCACCACCGTGCCTTATTTATCCCACAAGAGGGAAAGGAAACGCTCAGAGTAAACCTAACGCAAAGAGGGAAAGGAATGGTCATCGCAACCAAATCCTGGATTCAGGAGTCAGTTACGCAATGGGAAGGTATTAGCACCCCTCACGTCCGTCGTACTCGACGGGATCCACGTTTGTTTTCTATCTAAGGGTGTGTTATTCTATCTACTCTAAAGGTCTGGGTTAGAAAAGAAAAGAAAATGACTCGGCAAAGTATTGCACTTTATGCCTACGTATTCCCGTCTGGAACGAGAAACCAGAGTCAACGTAGTTTGCCTACCTACGGTAAAGGAGGGGGAAGGTTGCTCGCTAGGATATCGCATCCTATGCCTACGTACTTTCATACAGCATGAAAGATCAGAGCAAACGTAGTTCGGGCTACGGAAGACACAAGTTTGTCTGACAGTTTTTTATCTCCTTCTGAAAAGGGTTTTCCTGATTAAGGGTCCAAGCGGACAAAGATGACATTTGAGATTTGTTTTCAGTTTTTTACGAAAGAAATGTTTTTTAGTCTGTTTGCAACTTGTACTGTACTAAAGACTGGTGATCTGAGAGTGACTACATCGCATGTCACCCTAAGGGTACCATACTAAGCAGCCAGATTACTGAAGAGTGACCCTCCAGCAACCTTTTCTCA